GTTGGCCAATTAATTTCTTTCTATTTATAGTAGAGACGGGGTCTCGCTCTGTCAGGCTGGTTTTGAACTCCTGACCTTGGCAATCCGCCCGCCTCGGCCTCCAAGAGCTAGGATTACAGGCGTGAGCCACAGCAGCGCCGGCCAGAAATTTATTTTCAGCATCTTTTTACTGTTTCCTTTTGAAAGGTGATGGTTCTTTTGGTAGGTTCACATATGAAGTTCCAGCAATATCTGTCCATAGGCTTACATGGCCTAGGGGGCAATTTTGCTTCAGGGCTGGCATTTCTGAGCTTATGAAGTCCCTGGAGTACAAACATATATCTGAAATGGGCCCCTAATCTTAATTTAAAGATAAAATGGGGTGGAGAGATGAAACAGTGGGCTCAAGAGGGCACATGGTAGATGAACGTCAGTCCGTAGGCTGCCATTAACTAGCCTATAATTTAAATAATTACTCAAATAAAGTTTCTATAAAATGTGGCAGAATGTGGTAGCAAGACATTGTATCAATTAGGCTTTAGTAGCAAATGACAGAAAATCCAATCTAAATGGGTTTAAATTGTTAAGCAAAAAGGCAAACCTTTGGCTTTGTAAATAAAAGTCTAGAGATAGTTCTAACTTCAGAAACGTCATGATCGTGTCCAGAAGAGGCCACATAAACCAGTCACTCTCATTTCCCTCCTGGCTGCTCTGTGTGTTGGCTTCACTTTCAGACCATGCAATGGTGGCAAGATGGCAGCCCCAGCTCCAGCCAACTTGTCTCCGTGGTTTAAGTCTGGATTTGAGACAACCCAGGAGCCTGAGCAAACCTCAAAATGAGACGGATTGCCTCTGATTCGTCTCTCTTGAGCTATGTACCTGTCCCTGAGCCAATCACTGACCACAGAGAAATTGATGTTGGCTCATATGCCGACCTGGTCATGTGTCCTGGACTGCAGGGGTGGCGGGAAGGTACTGTCAGCTCCACAAAAACCACAGGGTTGAGCGTGGGAAGGGTGTTTCCCTAACAACACTGGAGGCTGTTACTGGAAACAGGGTAAATGGATAGGGGCTGGCCAAGAAACACACATCCCTACCATGCGGCTCTCGGTTCCAACATTCTGCAGTTCTGTGAGGCCTCCCGCGGCCCAGATGGCAGCACAGAAAGCACACTCGCCAGACTGCCCTCCAGCCGGAGCAGGAAGGGGTCTTGCTTTGTTGAGGATGACTGCATTCATACCCTGCAAACGCCCTGGCTGCTGGAAGGGCGTCCCTCCTGGCAACCAGGCGGTTTCTCATTTCTCCAGGAGAAATGCATGCAAAACTTTCCATCTCCTGCCTGGCAACAGCTCTGTGTTCGCTCCCATATCCTTGTTCACTCCATCCGTCCCTGCTCAGGACGTCTTTCTCTCACGTTGACTGTTCCTGTCCTGGCTTGCTCTGGTCTCTCCTTGTGTTTCTCTCTGCTTCCATAACTGACAGGCAGTCTCTGTCTGTCTAGCTCGCTCAGAGTTTCTGCCTCTGTTTCCTCTGTTCACTCTCTTCTGGGTTCTCTGTCTCTCGTCTCATTCACTGTCTACTGTCCTGTACTCTCTAAGTACTGCCTGTCATTCTCTACCTGCCACCTTCTGTGTCTTCCTCTCTCTTCTCATCTGCCCCTGTGTCTGTTCTCTGAATGACTTTCTCACTGCTCCAGACAGGACTCTAACGATGTGCCCAAGTCTTGCTTATTGCACGTCTTTGCCAGCGGACAGACCGACAGTTAGTGAGTGTGGAGGAGAGACCGTAAGGAAGAGACAGTCGAGGGGGGATTGGACAGGCACCTGAGCACTGCACTGTGGACTAGAGTCATTCAAGCAAAAACACACACAGCACACACACAATTGAAGCACAACACCTTCCCAGCAGCACTGCGCTGCTCTGTCACAATTACAGTTGGGTTGTTTTGAAGTGTCGTTTTCTCTAGTTTCAGTGTTTCTTAACCAAGTAGCTGCTCCTTGGATTTAAAGCATTGGATATCTGTTTAAGTTGGCCACATGCCTGTCCGGTTGCGTTGCGATGTGAAGCTGTTTGGTGTGTGTCTCTGTGATTTCTCCGTTGTGGACAGCTAGCCTCTTTTCTTTGTGGTTTTCCAGGTTTGCTGCTCTCAATGGCTAAACACATCTCTGATGCCCCCCAATGAGGGCTGACATTGGACCCTTTTTTTTAAAAAAAAAAAGATGAGGTCTCGCTATGTTGCCCAGGCTGGGTGTTGTGGCTATTCACAGGTGTGATCATGTACACTACAAGCCTCGAACTCTTGGGGCGAGTAATGCTCCTGTCTCAGCCTCCCTAGTAGCTAGGACAATAGGCACATGCATTGTGCCTGGCTTGAGCCCTTCTTGAAATTAATCTACAACTTTCAGTTCAATAGAGACATTTCTGGTTTTGAAAATAGAATATGGCAGAGGTAGCATATATTCGACAGGCTTTGCACCCAGATTTTATTTTTACATAGATTTTAAAACTTCATCATATACCATCCCAAGGACTGTCCTTCTAATCTGCAACAGAGTCAGTCTTCATTTAATTGTCCCTTCAATTTTAAGGGTCAATACATTGGCTTCTTCAGTCAGTAACATATCCTTTAACTAATATCAATACGATGCAAATGGCAAAAAGAATATGAGGTCATAGGACTGTTGGGTTTTGGTTGTTTTGTTTCTTTCCAAAGTTTAACACTTATCTGCTCTGTAGATGGTGAAAAATCACTCTTATGAGTCCTAGCTTCCACATTAGTAAATCAGTAAGTGCTGATTAAATGTGTTCATTCATTTAAGATGATACTCAGCTTTGGTATCCATTAGGCTCTCCTGGGAAGCCTTTAAAAACCCTGAAGGCCAGGCTGTAGATTAGATCAATCACACGAAAATTTCTGGGTCTGAGATCCAGGGGATCAGTATTTGCAAAAAAAATCCTACCCCATGTTCCTGCTCCAGGTGATTGCACTCTGCAGTCAAGCTGATAACCACTGATTTCAGAGGAAGTTACATTAGCTATGTGCTTATTTTGTACTTCACGAAGGTCAAAGGCCTTGTTTTAAATGTATGCTCAAGGACCCAGAAATTAAACTTGGATCACAGCCGCTAGGAAGTGATTCCCTAATTTCCAAAGATCGCCTATTCCTATAGCTCAGCTGAAATGAAAAACCCATAAAATATTCTTTATTTGATCAAAGAGAAGCACATATTAACATTCAATTAACAATATGTATTGAATGTGGTCACGGTGTTGAGAACTGGCTAAACCAAAAGTCTCTACTTCAAAAATATCCTTAATTTCGAAAGGCACACACAAGTAAAAAGCAATGTTTCATAAAACAAAAGAAAACAAAATGAAAACTTCCTTTCGTGGAAGTCCATGCGCTTCAGCGCACACCCTCCGAGTTAATTTTCTGCTGATTATGAGCTCTCCCGCTGCCTGGAATGAGCGGCCGAGAAAAGGAACCGCGGTTGGGAACAGGAAGTTTGCAACGATCTGAGAGGTTTACTGGAAAATTCTCTGCGAAAGAAATCATTTCAGTGGTTAACACTGCTAACAAAAATAAACTGGGCTGACAAAAAAATTAAGCTTTGTGCTCAGTGGGACAGTGTTTTGTTTTCTCCACATTGAAGAATAATTTTAAATGCATGGAGGTGCTCTTGTGAGTAATAAAATAGAAATATATTTAAAACTTGCTGGCTGGGCATGGTGGCTCTCGCCTGTAATCCTAGCACTCGGGAGCCAAGGTGGGGATCACTCGAAGTCAGGAGGTCAAACCAGCCTGAGCAAGAGGGAGACCCCATCTCTACTATAAATAGAAAGAATTAATTGACCAATAATACATATAGAAAAAATTAGCCTGTATGGTGGCACATGCCTGTAGTCCCAGCTACTCGGGAGGCTGAGGCAGGAGGATCGCTTGAGCTCAGGAGTCTGAGGTTGCTGTGAGCTAGGCTGACACCACGGCACTCACTCTAGCCTGGGCAACTAAGCGAGACTCTGTCCAAAAAAAAAAAAAAAAAAAAAAAAAAAAAAAGCTTTGCTGAATGCATAGTCAGGTATGGCTATGTAATTTCTTAGTCTATTACAAAGGGTCATATATTTCTCCTAGCTTTATTGGTATAATTGAAGAAAGAAATTGTATATATTTAAGGTGTGCAACATGATGTTTGGATATAAGTACTATTGTTGAAATGATTACCATGATCTAGCTAATTAACATATCCATCACCTCACATAGTTACCATTCTTTTTTTGTGGTGAGAACGTTTAAAATCTACTCTCCTGGCAAATTTCAGGTATGCACTAGCATATTATTGGTCAGCATGCCATATATTATTAGGTCTCCAGAACTTGTTCATCCTGCATATGGAAACTTTGTACCCTTTGACTGACATCTCCCCATTTCCCACCACCCCCCAGCCCCTGGCAACCACCATTCTACTCTCTGCTTCTGAAACACAGCATTTTTTTTTTTTTTTTTTTTTTGAGACAGAGTCTCACTTTGTTGCCCAGGCTAAAGTGAGTGCCGTGGCATCAGCCTAGCTCACAGCAACCTCAAACTCCTAGGCTCAAGCGATCCTCCTGCCTCAGCCTCCCGAGTAGCTGGGACTACAGGCATGCGCCACAATGCCCGGCTAATTTTTTGTATATATTTTTAGTTGGCCAATTAATTTCTTTCCATTTATAGTAGAGACGGGTCTTTGCTCTTGCTCAGGCTTTGTTTTGAACTCTTGACCTCGAGCAATCCGCCCGCCTCGGCCTCCCAGAGAGCTAGGATTACAGGCGTGAGCCACCACACCTGGCCAACACAGCGTTTTTAACCTCAAAAAAAAAAAAAATTATGTGGCACTCTGGCCGTACCTCTGTGAATTTCTTCCTCATTTTGATGATCCTTTCAACGCATTCTAGAAACGATAGGTGTGTCTGCTTTTCTTTGCTTTCCATTCTTCATGGGTTCTTCCCAGGCTGGAAAAGAGATGGAACCTTAGAAAGGAGATGTGTAAAAGAGGATCCAACTCGGGAGGGTCCCTGGGAGGCTGGTCTTGAATCCTTGTCCTGAGAGCGAATGCTGTGACTTTCATGTGCAGCATCTCATGTCTGGTTCCTACATCTCCCCATCTCCTCATCGCTCACCAATCCCCAGTATCACAGGCTGTACTTCAGGGAAGATGACCCCAAGGCTTGTTTTCTGTGGGCCAATCAACTAGTGCTGTTCTCAAAAACACTAGAACTGGCACCCCGCCTCGAAGGCTGGTCTAGTAGGAAAAGATTTGGAGCTGGGAGGCCAGGGTTCAAGACTTGGTTTTATTCCTTACAGTCTATATCAGGCATCCTCAAACTACAGCCCTTAGGCCACATGCAGGTGTTTTTGCCCATTATTTTGTTTTGTTTTGGTTTGGTTTGTTTTTTTTTGAGACAGAGTCTCGCTTTGCTGCCCAGGCTAGAGTAAGTGCCATGGCGTCAGTCAACCTAGCTCACAGCAACCTCAAACTCCTGGGCTCAAGCAATCCTGCTGCCTCATCCTCCCGAGTAGCTGGGACTACAGACATGCGCCACCATGCCCGGCTAATTTTTTCTATATATATTAGTTGGCCAATTAATTTCTTTCTATTTATAGTAGAGACGGGGTCTCGCTGTTGCTCAGGCTGGTTTCGAACTCCTGACCTCGAGCAATCCTCCCGCCTCGGCCTCCCAGAGTGCTAGGATTACAGGCGTGAGCCACCTCGCCTGGCCGCCTGTTTGTTTTTTTACTTCAAAATAAGATACGTGCAGTGTGCATAGGAATTTGTTCATAGTTTTTTTAAAAAAACTATAGTCCGGCCCTCCAATGGTCTGAAGCTCAGTGAACTGGCCCCTTGTTTAAAAAGTTTGAGGACCCCTGGTCTATATAATAACAAGCAAGCACACAACCCCTTTGAGCCTTAATTTCGTCATTGCAAAATGAGGGATGCTAACATTGCCTACTTTGCAGAGTAATTGTAAAGATTTAGTGAAATATAACCTTATGACGTGCTGTATGAATGGCCAATGCTTTTTTTTTTTAACACTCTGAAACTTGATTTTTTCTTTTAAAGTTTGGAAAGCTTAAACACTTAACGTAAAGAATTTGTAAATGGTGATCGAAATGAACCAACCAAGCTTTTTCTACAAACTTTAGCCTACAAAGCTTCCAGCTCACACCTTAGTGCCGCCCTACCCCCTCTGCATGGGTAACACCGGACACCCCAGGAAGAAAGTCTGATTTCAGAGCCCTTTACCTTGCTCTTCCTTCTTCTCAGCACGGGCCTCGCAGGTCATTTACCAAAGAGAACTGGCAAGGCTCCACGGTGAAGGAAGGCTGGTGGCCCTGCAGGGGGTGACAAAGGCAAACCGGACCCTGTCTTGAAACAAAACTGAAGGAAGGGCAGAGAGCCCGCGTTTGGCTGCAGGAGAGAGGTCTCCACATGCCGGGCCTCCCGTGCTCACACTGGGCAGCATTGTTCGCAGAGCTGGAGCCACCGCTGCAGCCACCCGCTCCCAGGAGGGCTGCCCTCCCACGCAGCAGCCGAGACCAAGAGCAATGCTTCCCGGTGAGCACAAGAAACCAAACACAACAACAACAACAAGAAATGGCTTTCTACATGCTCTTTCACAGAGAAAAATAGGGAGCACAAAACATATGTTCATCACTGGTTGTTATACAAATGTTTCAGGGGGATAAAAGGTGAGGATCTCTCAGCACCGCCCCCCCAACCCCACTCACTCTGACCCACCCATCCCCATCTCACCTGTAAAAAAAGTCAAATTGGACTTGCAGGAGTTCCCCATAGAATGTCCAAATTTCAGAGTTGTACCTACCTCTGGAGTGTGGAGGAGGAAACCTTATGTATGAAAGAGTAAAGGTAGGTAGTGATATTTACTGGGCTCCTGGCATATGTCAAGACATTTTCACAGGCAGTATTTAATCTTCACTATGACACTTTGAGATAGGTGTTCTCATGCCTACTGATGTGGAAACTGAGGGTCAGAAAGATCAAGAAATTTATTCGAGGTCACATAGGAAATACTTGGTGGTAAAAACAGCATGCTGGCCCAAGTCTCCCTCATTCCCTCCATTCATTCATCTCCGAAAACATGAATGAAGAAAAGTGTAGCATAAATAGTCACTGTCATTCTTCACTTGGTGAAATGGCAAAAATATTGAGCTTATTTTAAAATCAATCAATCAATCCCGGTTGTTTCCTCCTAAAAGGCCATGTTGACTGGTGAAAAGCCCTAAAAGAAGCCCTAAAAGATGAAGCCCTGCTGGTATTTGAAAATGATGGGGTTTTTTTCTGTAGATCTCAGTGGGTCAAATTCTGAAATTCCATTGAAATCCCTGGGAAGGCAAGAAAATACTACCATTACTCAAACCGTGAGACCTCTCAAGGAAAAAAAAAAAAGCCTTTCATTAGAAAGTGAACACACATCATTCTTGCCTCACAGACATGTGGGGAAGAGTTGTGACATGTGTCTTAAGCAATTTATTGCCAATAACCCAAGTTAGCAAGTGATTACTCAAACATGGTGGAGTGCTTCTCATTGTATACTTGCATACGGCATTTTTTGTGTGTTTGAAAATTTACATAATAAAAATATTTCCATTTTCTTTCTTTTTTAATTTTCCCCAATTTTATTGAAGTATAATTTATACCCTGTATATGGTGAAATGACTGACCTTAAGTATACAGTTGGATGAGTTTCAACAGTTGTATACATCTGTGTAACTCATACCTCATTAAGATATACAATATTGCCATAATTCCCCAAATATCCATTGTGCCCAATCCCAGTCAATCCCTGCCCATCCCCTATCCCACTAGAAACCACTGTTCTGACTTCTTTTGCCATAGATGGGTTTTGCTTGTTTCAGAGCTTCATATAAATGGAATCATGAAGTAGTGCTGAACAGTATTCTATTGCATGGACATACCCATTTTGTCCATTTATTCTCCTGCAGATGGACATTTGAGATGCTTCTAGTTTGTTGTTAGTCTCATTGTTGAGGCCAAGGTTGGGAAAAGAGAAAAGAATAAGGTAGAGTTTTGTAAGAAAATCTAATTTTCTTCCTGGAGTATTCAGTGTTATGAATAAAACTGCTATGAACAGTCATGTACAAGTCTTTTCTGTGTCCAAATGTTTTCATTTCTCCTAGGTAAATACCTAGAAGTGTATTTGCTAAGTCATAGGGTAGGAGCATGTTTAACTTTATGAAAAACTGCCAGACCAATTTTCAAACTGGTTGTACAATTTTACATTCCTATCAGTAATGCATGCAGGTTCTTATTGCTCCACATTCTTGCCAACAGTTGGTGCTATCAGTAGCGGTATCTCATTATGCTTTAATTTTCATTTCCTTCATGACTAATGATGTTGAGTGCTTTTCCATGTGCTTATTGGCATATCTTTCTTTGTGAACTGCCTGTTCAACTCTTTTGCCCACTTTGTTTTTTTTTAACTTAAAAATCATACAATCTCAACACCCAGAGATAACCCTCATTAATATTTCTTTTTTTTTTTTTTTTTTTGAGACAGAGTCTTGCTTTGTTGCCTGGGCTAGAGTGCTGTGGGGTCAGTCTAGCTCCCAGCAACCTCAAACTCCTGGGCTCAGGCGAAACTCCTGCCTCAGCCTCCCAAGTAGCTAGGACTACAGGCATGTGCCACCATGCCTGGTTAATTTTTTCCATATATATTTTTAGTTGTCCAGCTAATTTCTTTCTATTTCTAGTAGAGATGGGGTCTCGCTCTTGCTCAGGCTGTTCTTGAACTCCTGAGCTCAAACAATCCGCCCACTTTGGCCTCCCAGAGTGCTAGTATTATAGGCATTAGCCACCATGCCTGGCCCCTCATTAATATTTTAGACTTTTTTCTATGCATTTACTTATCGATACAAATATATATCTTACAAAAATTGGTTCATATTGTATAAACTATTTTGTAACTTTTTAATTTAGCAATTGGTCACAAATATCTTTCTCTATCAATAAATACTCTATGTGATCATTTTTTTAAACATGAATGTTCATTGCAGGTTTATTCCCAATAGCCTAAACTGGAAAAAAAAAAAAAACCCAAAATCCAAATGCCTTTCACGTGGTGAGTGGATAAAGCAAATGTGGTGTTTAGCTGTACAATGAGATGCTGCTCAGTGATTAAAAAAAAGAACAAACAACTGATAAATGCAACATACATGCAAAACCATTGTGTTCAGTGAAAGAAGCCAGGCACAAAAATGTAAATACAAACTATAGTGAGAATGCAAATATAGTGACAAAAAAGCTTGGGGCTGAGGGTGGAGGGAGGGATGGACTGATAAGAGGCAAGATGATGCTTTTAAGGATGATGAAAATGTTCTATATATTGATCATAGCTGTAGTTTCACCTGTATATTCATATCTTAGAACTCATCTCATTGTACATTTTGTTGTTGTATCTTGTTTTGTTTAAAAGGTTTTTAAAAATGTTATTATTAATATTATTTTTGATTGCCAAATCATAATTGAATATATTTATGGGGTAGAATATGATGTTTTGATATATGTGTACAATGTGGAATGATTAAATCAAGCCAATTAAGATACCCCTCACCTAGCTTACCTATCACTTTTTATAATGAGACATTTGAACAAATTGTACATTTTAAAGGGCTGCATATTGCAGGCAAATTATAGCTCGATAGAGTTCATTTAAACGAAAAGCATCATTGTGGAGATGCCATCTAGCATACAGGCTGGGTGCTAAAGGAAGTGAGGCAAGCATGGCTAATGCAATTAAAGACAAGACAAGAATCAAGTAGTAAGAAGCCTGGAAGGATAGAAAGTTGAGATAAGAGCTACGATAAGAGAGTTGAGATGTAACAGAGCTTACGTCTTAGAAAAAAAATAGGTTTAAGTTGAATTAGGACTCTTAGTTAAAGCTAGTTAAAGTAATTTAGGCTAAAAAGGAGATTCGTCGACTCATAGCATTTAAAAGATAAGTTGAACAATTGGAATCAGAGACTCAAGTGAAGCCAGGACTTCTTTTCTGGTTCTCTGATCTCTGACACCACCCTAGGGTGGAAGGGGGCAGGGAGGATGGGTAGGGTGCCTCATTATAGCCTCATAAGGGTGGTGGTCTAGACTCCCCACTTGGTCTTGGCAGGAGGGATGGGGGTTACAGTTTTTTCTCTGGGGTTTGGTTGGAGTAGAGTAGTTATTGTCTTAACAGTTTTCTGTCTTCCTAGGCTGTCCCTTTCTGGTCCTTTGATCAGAGTGAGCAGACTTTTCTAAGGGATCATGTGTGTGAGTAGGAGCGTGGGCATATGCACGCATGTGTGCCCGTTGGCATGTCCAGGTTGCTGGCTTCTTGAGCACGCAGTCTGGGATATATAAGGCAAAAAAGAAAACCTAGGGAACTCACCCACTCGTCCCTCTGTGCCTGAGGTTTATAGCTGGTCTGGCTTCTCTCCACCTTGCAGAGTCTTCTTATTTTTGTTTCATAGAGAATGTCCAGGGTTTTTAGCTATCTGGAAGAATAGCAGGAAGAATGAGGGAAAAATATGTATACTCTATTCTTCTGGAGGAAGTCTCCTTGACCACTTTTTTAAAATGGGGTTATTTGCCTTTCCAATTTTCTCTATTTTATTTTATCCATTGCTGATTGGATACAATTTTCTTAATTATTAATGATATTTGAGTAGGGAGAGCTTTGGAGAAAATGGAACAATATGTGTGCTTGTATTTTTCACTGAGAAAAGCATACATCCTTGCGTGAGAAGTGAGAATGATTCTATTAAAAAGATAATCTTGGATTTGCTCTAATTTTTTTAAAAATCCCAAACTGATATATTTAATAGTATTTCACTATATTACCAGTAAAATATTAATTACAACATGCTTCACAGTTAAAAGCTGAGGCTGAGATCCTCTCATTTAGATAGATGGTCTCTAATTTTTTTTCATGCACCTCCATCATTCAAAAAATGTGAGTGTGCACACCCCAATATATATATGTGTATTTATTTAAAAATTATATGCTTCCATTGTGATGGATATATTCTGTACACAGAATAGAAAATTTTAAAGGATGACATAAAATAAATACAAATTAAAACTCATTTAATACCTTCTTACCCCATCCCTCTTGACTGTGTTGTGCAGTGGTTGACAAGTTTATTTTTTCCCTCGAACTTCCAGCAAAAACAAAGCAGGGAGTTGTTTAAGGGTCCACCAGGGAATACAAAGTTTCTGGTCTCAAATTTGGCTTTGTGAAAAACCTTACAATTATTAAAGAGCAGGTTAGATGTTGGACTTTTGTATGTAATCTATGTTTTGGGGGTGTTAGAAGGATTTGGGGTTACCTCAGGAAGGTTCCAGATTGGATTGATTTTGACCTCTCCTGTGAACTCCTGAGAGAAGATAGGAGGAGTTCTAACCAGAGAGGCGTGGGCTTTTCCCTTGATCTCTCCCTCTTTTTCCATTGAAACTAAGGCATAGAATTTTATGCAGCTTTCATAGTCTTTTCGTTTTGACACAACATCACAATAGTGAACCTTTATGGATTGTCTATAAGGAAAGGCGTGTCGTGTGATACTGCACAGAAGTACCTATTTGACTTTCGGTCTCTTCTGCACTTTGTTGTCTTCTTTATTTTAGTCTCCAGTGTAAATTGTATGGAAATTGCAGTCAACCATGGAAAGGTTTTTATTTCATTCTCAAAGGATGAAACCAAAGATGAGTCATTTACTTTTCACTTCTTTGCTTTTTAAAAATACTCTTTTCTTTTGATTATAAAAGAAATATATGAAATGTGATTATAAAAGTTTTGGAAAATACAAAAATACCCAAAAGAACAAAATTAAAATTACTTATAATCCCATTAATTAAAGATAGTATTAAGATAGTCTTTTCTTTCTATGAAAAATGTTTTTCAAAATTGGGATCTTACTGATTTTACCATTTTATTTCATCCTTATTAATTAATACCTAACCATAATGAGTGTTTTTTTACGTCAAAAATTTTTCAAAAGCCTAGTTTTTAATGAGTATAAACTATTTCATCAAGAAGATATATTATAACTTAAGAATTCCTTCGTGCTAGCTATTTAGGCTATTTCTAATTTTTTGATATTATTTTTGCAGTGATAATATGTATGTATATGTATGTATGTATGATAATATATATGTATATGTTTTATTACTTCTCAGATTATTTTAGAATAGGTTCTAAGAAGCTCAATTCCTTAGTAAAGAATTTAAACATTATTAATACTCTTGATAATATTGTAAAATTGCTTTATTGAAAGCTTCCACTAATTACACTTCTATTAATGATCTATGAAAGTGCAGTTCACACAACATAATCAAAAGTCCTGAGTATTATCTCTAAAACATTCTCAAAAGCAGTTCACTGGGAAGGGGCATGGCAGAGAATTCTGTACTGTTGGAAGTATGGTTTTATCTCTAAGTGTGTATGTAAAATTTATTGAATATTATATTTTTGTCCTTTGCTGTATGTTTATTATTTCTCAATGTTTTTTAATATTTTATTTATGTTTTATATTGGCCAATTTGATAGATGAGAATAGCATCTTTTTTTTCTTTCATCTTACCAAACAGGTCATTATGCCCAAGAAAGGGATCACCAAATTTCTTTATTTGACCATCAGTACATTTTTTTAACATTTGGAATTTTGCAATCTGATCAATGAGTGAATGCTTTACTTGCATTATATCTATAAGTCAACATTAAATCTTCCCGGTGGATGTTACTTTTGAAGTTATAACCTGTCTCTTCTCATCTTATTTATTCCTTTTTTATCTTGAAAAACTGAAACTCTGTACTCATTGAACTCCCCATTTTCCTCCTCTCCCAGCCCCTGGCAGTCAACATTCTACTTTCTGTCTCTATGAATTTGATTATTCCAGGAACCTCAAAAAATGGAATCAGAGAGTATTTATCTTTTTGTGACTGGATTATTTCACTTAGCACAATTTCCTCAAGGTTCATCCATGGTATAGCATGTGTCAGAATTTCCTGCTTTTTAAAGGCTCAATAATATTCCATTGTATGTATATACCACATATCATTTACCCATTCATCCTTTGATGGACATTTGGACTGCTTCCACTTCTTGCCTGTTGTGAATAATGCTGCAGTGAACATGGGTGAGCAAAGATCTCTTCCAAATCCTGCTGTCCATTCTTTTAAATATATACCCGGAAGTGGAATTGTTGGATTGCATGGTAATTTAATTTTGAACTTTTTGAGGAACCTCCATACTGTTTCCCATAGCAGCTACCCGTTTTACCTTCCCACCAACAAACAGTTCCAATTTCTCCACATCCTTGCCAACACTTGTTATTTTCTGTTGTTTTGTTTAAAAGTGGCTCTATTAATGGGTGTGAGGTAATATTTCAGTGTAGTTTTGATTTGCATTTCTCTAATGATTAGTGATGTTGAGCATCTTATGATATGTTTGTTGGCCATTTGTATCTCTTCTTTGGAGAAATGTCTCCTCAAATCCTTTGCCCATTTTTAAAATTGGCTTATGTTTTGTTGCTGTTGAATTGTAGGAGTCCTTTTTTTTTTTTTTTTTTTTTTTTTTAAGTCAACCAGATCAACAGAATTTTTTTTTTTTTTTTTTGAGACAAAGTCTCGCCTTTATTGTCCAGACTAGAGTGCCGTGGCGTCAGCCTAGCTCACAGCAACCTCAAACTCCTGGGCTCAAGCAATCCTTCTGCCTCAGCCTCCCGAGTAGCTGGGACTACAGGCATGCGCCACCATGCCCGGCTAATTTTATATATATATATATATATATATATATCAGTTGGCCAATTAATTTCTTTCTATTTAGAGTAGAGACGGGGTCTCGCTCTTGCTCAGGCTGGTTTTGAACTCCTGACCTTGAGCAATCCGCCCGCCTCGACCTCCCAGAGAGCTAGGATTACAGGCGTGAGCCACCGCTCCCGGCCAGGAGTTCTTTATATATTCTGGATATTAATGTATCCCTTACCAGATACATGATTTGCAAATATTTTCTTTTATTCTGCGGGTTGTCTTTTCACTATGTTGATTGTTTTCTTTAATGCACAGAAGTTTTTATGTTTGTTGTAGTCCCATTGCCTATTGTGCTTCTGTTGCCTGTGTTTTTGGAGTCATACCCGAGAAATAAATTATTTCCAAATCCAATGTCATTAAGCTTTCCCCCTATGTTTTATTCTAGGAGTTTTATAGTTGTAGATTTTTAATCCATTTTGAGTTGATTTTTGTTTATGGTATAAGATAAGGGTCCAACTTCATTCTTTTGCATGTGGATATCCAATTTCCCCAATACCATTAGTTGAAGAGACTGTCCTTTCCCTATGGTGTGATCTTGGCACCATTGTCAAAGACCATTTGACCATATACCTAACAGTTTATTTCTGGGCACTCTATTCTGTTCCATTTGTCTCTATGTCTGTCTTGATGCCAGTATCTCATGGTTTTATATTAATAGTATACCATCACTTCATATAATATTTTTGGACTATAAATGAGATCAACACTTTTGAAAATGTATTGGACAATTCTATTTCCTTTTTGACAAATTACCTATGCATATCTTTTTCCATTTTTAAGTTAGGGTTAGGCATTTTTTATAACTGAACTGAGTTAGTTTTATGTTGTGGTAGACACTTATTGGCTTATCTGCCCAACGCCCCTTGTTAGGAATTGCCCTCTCTTCTATCCATATGGTTGTGGGAGGGAAGCTACGGATTCACAATGAACTTCTGACCCCCACCTCCACACAGGCCACAGTCAATTGCTCCCGGATGGGAGTCAATCCAGACTGAACCATTTGCAGCCTTCCCCAGGGACTTGGAATGAGAACCAACAGAGTTAGGTCATCCTCTCTCAATGTAGCAAGACCAATTACAATAAAACTTGAGTGCTGCTGGGTCCATTTGCTTACCAGGTGCTCTGGGAAACAGAGGTTCTATGGGGAGAGGTTAAATATGAAGCAGAGAAGAGAGAGAGAGAACAATCTCAGATCTTACCACACCCTGGTCCCTGGTTCTAGTAGATCCAGCTGTCTCCCTGCAATTAGTCGATTTTAATTTGTTAGTTCACATGATTCTCTGTTATTTGTAATAAAAAGTACTAATTAATATGTATATGTATTCAGTCATTTAATAAATACTGAATACCACATGCAAAGGCACTGCCCTGGTAATATAGGACTGATGAAAGTGGACATTCAGGGGGCAGGGAGATGGAAAACAGGAACAAGTAACTATGTGGAATGTCATTGGGGATTAGTATCATGGAGGAAAAGAAAGCAAGCGTCAGGGGAGGGGCAGCCTTACTGAAAACATGACATAGATAGAGGTCTGCAGAAACCCAGGGACAGAGTCTGAGGCAGAGGGAATAGCAAAGGCAAGGGCCTGGGACCAGGAGTATGCTGGACGGGTTGCAGGTATGATGGCCCGTGTGGCTGCAGAGGAGCCATCAG